GCCCTCTCACACCCCTGCACTGGCCGACCTGCCCTATCACACCTCCGTACTGGCCGACCTGCCTTGCCTTTGGGTCCCTCATGCTTCCCAAGGCCGGCCCGAGCCGCGCCCACGGAGGGAGCTGCGGGGACCATGCAGTTAACACCGGCTGGCGCACGGCTTCTGGCAGGGAGGGGCGTGCTGTGCCACAGCGCCCCGGTTGCGCCTGCGTCCACGTCGGCCTGCATTTCTGGCGAGTGTGTTCACGTCAGTAGTCCAGTGCAGTCTCACCCACAGAGACCACCCCAGCTCTCGCTGGCCGCGTTCTCCAGCCTCAGCCTTCCAGAGGGCTCCCTCCGACCTTCGATCGCCCCGGCTGGGTGGCAACGAGGTGCTGTGCTGGCTACTGCCCCATGCAGGGCAGTGCCACCTCCAGGATGGCTCTGCTGTGCCAGGTGGGACTTGGGCATCCCTGCCCCCAGGGACTTCCTCACTGCACGGGACCCCAGCGTCCCCAAGGAAAGAGGGGCGAGGGAGGGAGGACTCAGCTCTCATTCCCACTGGCTTAGGTCCCTTTCTCCTGTGTTTCTGTGACTCTGGGATAACACCTCTGAAAAATCGCCTGTCTGAGCAGGGCACGGGAGAGGAAGGTGGCATCCAGGGACTCTTGCTCCTCGCAGCTCAAGAAACATCTTCGCTCTCGGAATATGCTTGCGGGGTCTCCTGAGTGGCCGGCTGTGTGAGGAGGTGGCCAGGCCTCCTGGCTCCAAATGCAGGGGAGTGGTGAACCTGCTGAGAACAGGCCTGGGCCAAGAGCAGGGACCCCGTGATCTGACCTGAGTTACAGTCACGAGGACACCCTGTTTCCTGTCCTTACCGAGGCAGCGGCAGGAGTTTAAGGATGGGCATGTGTGTCTAAAGGAGCTTCGTGGAAAGGGAAAACCACGGGAAGGACACGGAAAAAGAGTGGCGAGAAATGAGTGCTGGCCCAGCCCGAGAGGAGGCTCCGTCGGTGCCTGGGAAGACGGCGTGGGGGGACCAGCCACCTCCGGTTACACCGTGACTGGTTTCTTGAACACCTTCTAACCCTGCAGAGTTATCCTGGCCTTGGATTTGTAGCCCGGGGGTTAGAGAAGTGAGTACATCAGTCACCGTCCAGTGACCTGCTGGGCATGGGGACGGGACTCGAGAGTGGAGGCGAGCCTGGGTGAGTGTCCTGCGGTTTCTTCAACCTCCCTTCTAACTTGCCCACTCTCTGCCCTAAACGTCTATGCCTGGTGATTCAGCCACCGCCTCCACCACAAGCTCACAGGCTTTCGGCGCCTCAGTGACCGCCTCTGAGGTAAAGGTGGGCAGGGGGTCCGAACTGCTGCCTATGTGAGCTATCGAGGCCCTGGGGACAGGGTGTTAGCAAGAGGAACAGTCCTGCGTGGACCTCCCAGTTCTGGGAGTGAGGCTAACCTTCGGTGATTATCTAGAACTGGATTAAAAGTTACAAAGGAAAAACCCAGACTTCTCTGAGCGTGTGGACAGATGGATCCAGACAAACAGCCAGAGGCCCAAGCCTCATTAGAGAGTTTAAAGAAGGCCTCACAAAGAAATGGTATTTAGGCTGAGCCCTAAGGGTAATTAGAGTTAGCCAGAAGAAAGTGATGAGAAAACTATTTGAGGCAGAGAAAACACCATTTGCAAAGATCAAAGGTAATACGAAATTGTTCTATTCAAAAAATTGAAAGAGACCACTGGTTGGTGCACGGTTGGCCAGTGGCAAAGAGCCCAGACCACAGAGGGCTCTGCAGACTCCTGAGTAAGCCGACCTACCTGAGGTCGAAGTGTGCAAACTCATGGACCAGCCTCACGTGCACCGGCCTCACTTTGCACCGACCTCACTGGGCACCAGCCCCCCTGGTCCCCGGCCTCACAGCACAGCCACCTGAAACACCTTGGTCTCACCGGAGCGTGAGCTGCCATCCTTTCTCCATCTCTGCGTCTGGAAGTAGGCATATTCTCTGAGTGCTGTCTTTCTGGTCAGAGACTGGAGGTTGTCACTGTGCCTCGTCTCTCCTCCTGTGGGTCCTCTCGCTCTGCCCGTGAAGGTGGTTTCCGTGTTCCCCAGCCCTGCTCTGTTTCCCAGATCTCGGCCCTCCTCTCCTCCCTCCACCACTCGTCGGCCACTGGCCCGTGGTCTTCTAGTCCTGTTGCCGTGATTGGGCACCCTGTGCGTACTAGGTCTGTGACTTCCAGCATGACACCTGCGTGCACTCGCGGAGTCTCACTGCAGGAAGGGCAGGTGCAGCGACAGGGCTCGAGCCGGCTCTGGAGGACGTTGGCAGGTGCCAGGCAAGGCCAGGCCTCGGGGGTGGGGGAGATGCAGTGACAGTCTGAGCAATGGTCCGTGAGAAATGGCCGAGGCTCCACCTGGGAGGACAGAGCAGTTGGGCCACAGTGGAGCTTGCGAACCAGAGGAGGCCTGGAAAAGGCTCCTGCGTTGTGGGTCATGGCAAGCTACTGGAAGTTTAGCAGGAAGTGGCAGACCAGGCTTCCAGAGGAGGCTGCAGTGATGTTTGCAGACCTAGGCTGGGACTTGTGATGGTCACTTGGTTGTAGGCTGCTGGAAGTTGGGGGACCAGGTGACCATGGAGGAGAGGTGGGACAGACAGAAGCCAGGGGACTCAGGGCTGAAAACCCGAGCAGCTCAGGAATGGCAGAGGTGGCCCCGACACTGGTGTGAACGGTGGCCCACTAGGGAATGTGGGATTTGCTGAAGACACAGGCTACAGAAGGGGGGAGTGTGACTGCAGAGCTGCCGAGCTGTGGGTGCTCTGGGAGGGACGGTGAGAGGAAGCTGAGTATGGAGTCAGAGGTGCTCAGAGCCAGAGCTGTTAATATGCTCTGTCCTAGCGTTACTGGAAAAGGCAGCTGGGCGGTGTCCCCAGGCCGAGGGCTTGTTAGGGAAGGCGTGCAGAGCAGAGCTCTGTGTGGGTGGAGCCGCAGCCAGGGGAGAGGGGGCAGCTTGGCTCCCTACTCGGGGACAGGATCAGGGCGTAAGCGGACGCGCTGCCACTGGGCTGCTTCTCCAGGGGCAAGCCTCACAAGGACAGGGAGAACTGTTACCTAAAAGGTAATGCAGAAGGGCGACCCCACAGGCAGGGCTGCCCCGAACCTCAGCGGGCACCTGGCTCACACGGCTTCCTTAATGCCAGCCCGTCAGTGCCGTCACTCCGCACGCTCATCCATCCCTGCGCTGGCAGTGCTCTGCGAGGCGGCTAAGGCAGCGGCCTCCTGCCCGTGGCGCTGTGGTCCCCGCTCGCCGTTTTATGGGCTCGTTTCTGAGCCGCGGACTCCCTGTGGTGGACTTCTCAGAATGAAGTGTTTACAGTGCCCACTTAAAGGGCATTTACTTATCCCGAGGGAGCTAGGCAGAGAGACGGCATGCCACGTAGGGTCCTGGTGCGGGGCCCCCTCACCCGGCTTGCCGCCCCTGTTCACGGGCACACGCATGTGCAGCCACTCGGGGAGCTTCCAGACACAGGCCTTCCCGTGCAGGTCGGCCCACTGCTCCACCACCGCCCCACCCGGCCCTCCGAACCGTGCTTCAAATACAGGACTTGAAGCCCGTGGGATCATGGGCAATGTGCTCTGAAGCCCCTGCCCCAGCCCCAGCCCCAGCCACGCCCCAGCCACGCCCCAGCCATGCCCCAGCTGTGGTGCTTTCTTGCCCACCTTCCATAGAAGGAAATCCTGGGTGTGAAGTGGCGGCTAGTGAAGGAAGTCACCATACGTCTCCCAGGGGAGGCCACAGCCCCCCGAATTCCACGCCTGGCCGGTGGTCTGAGGACGAGGAGAGGAAGGCACAGCTTCTCGTGAGCGCCGGATGCCCACGTGTGTCTTCACAGCCCACGGCTGTGATGGGGCAGAGGGTCCCTGTCTGACGTCTGCTCCCAGTGTCTCATGTTTGTCGTGTCCGAGCGCGGTGATTGATGGTGGCCCAGCACACCCTCCTGAAAACCTCGGGAGGAGAAATGAGCTTGGGGCTGCTCGGGTGTAGACGAGCCTACGGAAGTGTCTGTCCCTTCCAGCAGGTGAGGCTGTGGCCAGGTCCCTCTGGGCTCTGAGCTAGAGCTGGCCTTCAGGGTTGCCACTGGCACTGCTCCGGAGAAGGGCTGTGTGATGGCTCAGCTCGGGAGGAGGAAGGACTGTCCGCACACCTGGGTTTCAGTGACCCAGGAGACTCAGAGCACAGGCCTGAGGAGGGAAGCCAGCAGTCTTTGGGGCTCTCAGGACCACAGTGCCCCGGTGACACCTCTGCTACCCCGTCCTGTCCCCTCTGCCTCTGCACAGGGCCCTAGGCTGGACTCTTCCGACATTCAGGAGTCACTGCAGAGCAGTCCGGCGGGCTGGGGCTCAGGCGTCAGGACCACTTCCACCCACGTTCCCTGCGGGACACAGGGACTTGCCTGTCAGGAGGTTTCTTATCCCAACAAGGAGACCCACGGGGTTCGGCTGCAGGCCTAGCATCTTCACTGGACATCGGGACTGTAAGAGCATCGGTGGGTGCACAGGAGGCGCCGCGGAGCCAAGACCTTGCTCCTGTCGGTAGATTTCCTAGGGCCACTGTAGCCAAGTCGTCACCAACTGGGCAGCTTGAAGAACTGACTCATCCTCTCCTAGGCCTGGAGGCTGGGCCATGGGATCGGGAGTGGAGGCTGCCCTCCCCTGAGGCCC